AAAAAAAAAAAAAAAAAAAAAAAAAAGGCTGGGGTGTGGTTGTGATAAGAGAATCTCTAAATTCAAAGGAGGAGGAAAAAGAAAAGTCATTGAACCAGTTGTGGTGATGCACACCTGTAATCCCAGCACTCGGGAGGCTGAGGCAGGAGGATCGCTGTGAGTTCAAGACCAGCCTGGGCTACATAGTGAGTTCCAGGTCAGTCTCAACTACATAGTGAGACCCTATCTAAAAAAACCCAAAAAAACAAAAAACAACAAAAACCAAAACAAGAAAAGCCATTGAAAATAATTTAAACTTTTTTTTTTCATTTTTTTGGTTACTGAGAGAGGGTCTCACTATGTAGTTGGGGCTGACCTGGAACCCACTATGTAGCCCAGGCCTTGAATTTGTAGTAATCCTCCTGCCTTCGCCTCCCATGTGGACTACCATGCCTGGCCATAGTTGTTTTTTAATATGCAAGAACTGTGAGTTGGCATGGTGAGGCATACCTGTTATCTCAGCACTTGGCAAGCTGAGACAGGAGGATCACCCTGAGTTCGAGGCCAGCTGGGACTACATAGTGAGGCCTGTCTCAAAAAGAAAACAAAACAAAACTTTAGAATCCAATTTATTTACTTTAAAAGCTCAACAGGGCTGGGGATTTAGCTCAGTGGTACCGCCACCTGCCTCAAAAGTGCAAGGTCCTGAGTTCAATCCCTGGTTGAAAAAAAAAAAAAAAACCTGAATAAAGAAGGAGGTATTTGCTAACTAGCACTCACTAGCCTGTTAGGTGCCAGCCATGCTGACCTTGGAAATACAGAGATGAAAAAGACAAAACCCTTTCAGTGAGCTTGTGAAGATTAAAAATAATAAATGTACGAGGATATAAAAACTTTAAAAAGCCAAGTGTGGTGGGGCACATGTGTAAACCCTGTTTTTGGTAGGCTGAGACAGGAGGATTGCTGTGAGTTCAAGGCCAGCCTGGGTTACAAAGTAAGTTCAATACTAGCCTGAACTCCATAATGAGACCCTGTCTCAAAAACAAAACCAATCCCTTTAATTGGTCACCCATCTCACCTAATCAAGGGTTTTCACTACAGCAGTTCTCCCTACTCCTAGACAGAATTTTCCCTCTCCACTGAATCATTCCCAATCTACTATTCCTACCATCTTTAGGAAAAAAAAAAATCCACAAAGACTGTTTTTTTTTTCTTGTGGTGACACTGGAGAGTGAGCACAGGGCCTCACTCACACACACTAGGCAAGAACTGCTAACCATCATGAAGACATCCTCCTTTTTTTGTTCCCGGGGATTGAATTCGGGCCCTTGTGCTTGCAAGGCAGCCCCTAAACCACTGAACTAAATCCCCAGCTCATCTTCCTTTTTATTAGTACATGTTGGTAGTCTAGTCACATTCTGTGGGGTCACACTCACTGTGGGGCACAAAAATTCTGTTTTTTTTTTTAGTTTAATTTTTAATTCATTAGAACCTAGGGAGTGATTTTTTTTTTTTTTTTTTTCCAGACAGTGTCTCACTATGTAGTTGAGACTGACCTGGAACTCACTGTAGCTCAGGCTGATCTTGAACTCACAGCGATTCTCCTGCCTCGGCCTCCCAAGTGCTGGGATTACAGGCGTGCGCCACCATGCCTGGCTAATGATTCACTTTTGATTCTCTCACAATGTATACATATTCTTTCAGAAAATTCTATTGGCTCTACCCATAAAATCTGTTCCAGTTCTCACTACCTCCTGTTCCCACCATGGGCCGCCATCATATTTCACCTAGATTACTGCAGTAGATTCTTAAATTTTTGTTTGTTTGTTTGTTTTTTGTATCGTGGATTGAACTCAGGACCTTTGCTTGTGAGGCAAGTGGTGGAACGACTGAGCTAAATCCCCAGCCCTAGATTCCTAAATTTTCGTTCACCTTCTGCCCTTGCTGCTACTATCTAGTATCAATTAGCGATCCCAATGATCTGGCTTTTTTTTTGTTTTGTTTTGTTTTTTGAGACAGGGCCTCACCACTTAATCCTAGCCTCTGGATGGTGGGTGGTCTTGAAGGCACTACTTAACCCAGGTGGGCTTTGAACTCATGATCCGCCTGCCTGGGGCTCCCAAGTGCTGGGACTATTGACATGTGCTCCCATGCCACATTTAGTAACCACAGTGACCTCTAAAACAGAAATCAGTGTAATCCTGTTCTGGTGAAGAATGAGAAACACTGTTTATGTTCTAGCAAAGCTCCCATCTGGCTTATACTTGTGAGGCATGTCTCTCCATAGGAAGAGTTTTTTGTGTGGAGAAAAGCCACTCCAGGCTCTCAGCCCAGAGCAATCAGGGTTACCTCTCGATATGTTCGCACTACTCCCGGGATGTCGTGAAAAATCAGTGCGGCTCCGGGATTCCTGGCCACGCCAACTCCAGTGGCAACATCCATCTGTAGAACACTGTCATCAGAGATCATCCACATTCCAGGCTCACCTGGAAAAAGTCAAAAGAAAGTACCTGGTTGCAACCATCATGTCACTTACTCTACCTTTATTTTTTATTTTTGGGTTTCTTTGAGATAGAGTCTCACTGTGTACCCCAGGCTGGCCTTGAACTTGCAGTGATCCTCCTGCCTCAGCCTCCCATGTGCTAGGATTATAGGCGTGCACCATCATGCTGGACTCACTGTATCCTTATTTAAACTCCAAATAAGCAGAGCACTCAAGACCGTTCTGTCTTCATTAAGGTGAACATCTATTCCCAGGAAGAGCGTGTGACTTTGAGGGTAAATTCTTTCTGACCAGCATTTCCCCTTTATATACTATGACAGCAAAATAAAGGCCTGCTTTAGACTTCCGGAACGAGAAGAACTGCTCAGAGTATAACTGTTCTCCTAGGACAAAGAAAAGCTCTTCTTATGTGCAAGGGTACCTCTCTACTAAACTTTTAGATTTTCTCTAAGGATGAGTGTGCTTTGAGCTACAGACTGTTGCCAGCAGGAGAGTGACAACTGGCAGAAGGGTTCTGAAGGTGGCAAAGGAATGCGAAAGATTAGGTAAGAGTACTAATCACAAGGTTACTGATCCTGGCACCCTTGATAGTGGTCACTCGCAAGTCAATTGTGATTAGACTGAGGGATCTGATCTTGGCAAATACAGGCATCTTTTTATCATGTCCAAAACACACAGCTAATGTGAAATGAGGCCCAGCGTTACAGCTCAGCACTTTACCCATAATTCCCAAAACCACAAACCAGCCAGCTGTGCTTGCGGGACAAAGGCGGTGTGCACACCACAGAGTGTGCTGGCTGCAAGGCCAGAGCCCACACTTCCAAGCCGAGGACTGATTCACTATGGCTTTTCCTGAACGCAGTAGTACGCCTTAGACCAGAAGTGCCTTGTTGATCAAGAATACAGTTTAGCCCAGTAGAAGGCCACACGTACCTACCACAGGGACGGTCTATTAGGAATTAGCCCTGAAATGGGGCCCACAGTATGGCGTACACACAACTGCTTCCTTTTCCTTCGTTTGGCTGAGCGGGCAGTGAAGGTCATAACATGATGTGCACCGTGTAACACGCCATGTGTTCAGCAGGCCCTTGTTCAGTACACTGGCTGAGTACTGAGAGCAGGGCCAGCCAGACAGAATTACCAGGTAATACAACAAACACTCCAAAGCGAGGGGCCCGCAGGGTTAGGTAACTCGGGGGAAATCTCTAAAGTTCTGTGGTGAGGGGAGGGGAGGAGAGGGAAGGCCTTCAGACCATGCTCGTCGACAAGATGCGTGCTGAAGCAGATGACGTCCCCCACGGAGGTCCACGCGGTGTCTGGCTCGATGGCATATTCCACGGCAACGGGGACGTAGTCCGCCATGCCTGGGTGCCGCTGGTCCCAGAGCCTCACGAGTGTTAGCCCTCTGCTCACAGCCTGGGCTGTGTACGTATAGTTCCCACTCCCTGGTCCAATAAGCAGCAGGTCATCTCTAAAAGTAGATACAAAAAGAATGGCTAGGGGTGAAGCTCCACGGTAGAGTGCTTGCTGAGCGCCAACAAGACCTTGGGTTTGATTCCCAGTACCACAAAAAAATAACAGAAACAATCTCTGCAAAGAGACATTAGATATGGCACAGTTCTTTTTTGCGGGGACCATACTACAATAGTGTACTTTCAACACCCCAAAGCTCAGAAGGAATTCTTCAACCAAGAGTAAGCAACTGCAAGTATCTTCATATGCATAGTGCTTAGCAGACGTTTCCCTTCTCTCCTGTGTGTGTGTGGGCATTGGGGATTGAATCCAGAGCCTCTGCTAAACCACGTACCCAGCCCTTTTCATTTTTTGTTCTGAGACGGTCTCTCTAGGTCACTATGTTGCCCAGGCTGGGCTGGAACTTGCAGCCTCCTGCCTCTGCCTCCCAGAATACTGCAATTATAGGTATGTGTCATCATGTCTGGCTTCCAGCTCTTTTACAATTTTTACTTATGTATTTATTTTTTGTGGTTACTAGGTACGGAACCCAGTGTCTCCACACTGAGCTACATCCTCAGTACCCTCAGACACTACCCCTCTTTTGTTTTTTGTTTTTGGTGCTGGAACTGAACCCTGGGCCTCCAGCATGCTAGATTTCAGGCAAGCACTCGAGCACTGAGCTCATCCCAGCCTTGGGTTTTTGTTTTTCAGACAGGGTCTCCCTGTGTAGTTCAGGCTGGCTTTGAACTCAAGTCAATCCTCGGGCTGGGAATTTAGCTCAGTGGTTCTGGAGCCTGCCTCAAGTCAACTGTTTTAACTCAGCTCCTCAGTGCTGAGATTACAGGGGTGGTGTGCACCACTATGCCCAGCCAGCTTTTGGCTTTTGTTTCAGACAAGGTCTTGCTATGCAGTCTAGGCTGGCCTTGACCTGATGATCATCCTACCTCAGCTTCCTGAGTCCTGGGATTTTAGGCATGCATGCCTGGCCCTTAGCCTTTTTTAAAAAACTTGAAATTCAGGGTGGAGAATTTAGCTCAGTGGCACTGTGCCTGCCTTGCAAGCACAAGGTCCTGAGTTCAATCCCTGGTACTGAAAACAAAAAAAAAAATTAGTGTGTGTGTATCTACACGTGCACTGGAGACTGAATCCAGAGGGCTCTACCACTAACCTATATCTTTATTTTTAATTTTGAGACTGGATCTCTGTTTGCCTAGTCTTTAACTTGCAGTTCTCCAGGTAGGCACCTTACACCTGGCTTCTTTTTCCTTTGTTTTTTTTTTTTTTTTTTTTTTTTTTTTTTTTCCAGTTTTGTGAGACAGGGTCTCACTATGTAGTTCAGCCTTACCTTGAACTCACCAGCCCAGGCTGGCCTCAAACTCACAGTGATCCACCTGCCTCAGCCTCCTGAGTGCTGGGGTTACAGGCAAATACCATCAAGCCTGGCTTCCTTCCATTCTTTTTTGTTTGTTTTGTTCATTTTGTTTGTTTGTTTGTTTTTCTGGTTTTTTGAGACAGGGTCTCACTATGTAGCTGAGACTGCCCTGGAACTCACTATGTAGCCCAGGCTGGTCTCCAACTCACAGCGATCCTCCTGCCTCAGCCTCCCGAGTGCTGGGCTTACAGGCGTGCGCCACCACACCCGGCCTGGTTTGCCTGGAACTTGCTGTATAGTGCAGGCTGTACCTAAAGTTGTGATGCTCCAGCTTCAGTCTCCATTCGAGTTCCCTCAATTCTGATGAGAACATTAGTGTGTTTTCAATGTAACGGCTTTAAAATTTTTCTTCCAATAAAGCTTTTAAATAACACTCTACAGCTGGCATAGTGGTGCATGCCTGTAATCCTAGCACTCAGAAGGCTGGGTCAAGAGGGTTGAGGCCAGTCTGGGCTACATAGTGAGTTCAAGACCAGCCTAAACTGCATAACAAGATCCTATCTCCAAAACCAAACCAAACCATACTGAACCAAAACAAGCAAAGCAAAACAGAACAAACCATTTAGTTGTCTTTGGGTCTTTTCTGTGACTTCAGCCTTGGTAGATTAAAAATCTACTGAAATTTTTCTTTTCTTTCTTTCTTTTTTGGTACTGGGGATTGAACTTGGGTCCTTGTACTTGTGAGGCAGGTGGAAGAACCACTGAGCTAAATCCCCGGCCCTATTTCATTTTCTTTTGTTGTTGTTGTTTTTTTTTGGTGGGGGTGGTGGTGTTTTGAGACAAGATCTCACTATATAGTTGAGACTGACTCACTATTTAGCCCAGGCTGGTCTCAAACTCATAGTGATTCTCCTGCCTCAGCCTCCTGGTATTAATTAATTAATCATTGGGGGCTTATTTATTTTGTTTTTTTGAGACAAGGTCTCACTATGCAGTTGAGACTGACCTGGAACTCACTATGTAGCCCAGGCTGGTCTGAACTCAGTGATCCTCCTGCTTCAGCCTCCCAAGTGCTGGGATTATAGGCGTGCGCCACCACGCCCAGCTGTTTTTTCTTTTTGAGACAGGGTCTGACCATGTAGTTGAGACTGACCTGGAACTCACTGCTTAGCCCAGACTGGTCTCAAACTAGCAGTGATCCTCCTGCTTCAGCCTCCCTACTGTTGGGATTACAGGCGTGTACCACCATGCCCAGCTTTCTGTTTTTTTTTTTTTTTTTTTTTTTTTTTGGTACCGGGGATTGAACTCGGGTCCTTGTGCTTGCAAGGCAGGCCACCGAACCGCTGAGCTAAATCCCCGGCCCTGTTATTTGTTTTTGATACAGGGTCTTGCCATGTAGTTCAGGCCAGTCTTGAATTCATTATGTAGCCCAGGCTGGCCTTGAACTTGCAGTGAGGAACCTGTCTCAGCTTCCAAAGTGCTGAGATTACAGGTATCTGGCACCACGCCTGGCAGAAATGTTTCTTCATTGATAATTAAACCATTCTTTAACTAAACCTGATCTTTTATATTATTCGTATGGTATTGGAGATCACACCCAGGGCCTGATACATACTAGGCAAGTCCTCTGCCACTAAACTATACCCCCAGCCGGTGTTTAATCCTAAAAAGAGAAATAAAGATCAGATTCCAAGCCCGAATGTGAAAAAAGTTACTAGAGCTGCTAGTCTAACATGTAAGATTCCTACCCCAGTGTCAACAACTGTTTTTTTTTTTTAAGTACTAGGGATTGAACCCAAGGCTTTCCCACTGAGCTACATTAGTCCTTTCTAATTTATTTTTCGGTACTGGGAATCAAACTGGGGCCCTTGCGCTTGTGAGGCAGGTGGCAGAACCTCTGAGCCAAATCCCTGGCCCAGTCCTTTCTTATTTTGAGACAGGATCTCACTAAGTCGCTAAGTTGGGTTCAAACTTGTAATCCTCTTGCCTCAGCCTCCCAGAGTGCTGGGATTGCAGAAACAGTGCTTTGACTTCCTATCGTACCTGTTCAGAGAAAGATAAAGCTGAGTGCTGTGCGTATGGAATCTCTCTCCAATGCTACTGTAAAACTGGATAACGAAGGTGAGAGCCATGCCCACTGGAAAGGCTGACAGGGTCCTTCCTGGGGCTGTGTGCAGTCTGGGCTGGCTGCTCACACGCAGGTAGGTCACTGGAGCCACCTGTGGAGATGGAGACAAGGCCTGCTGTGAGGGCAGGCTGTGGTCAGCACACAAGGCTGTGTGGCTGAGGCTCAGATGTCTTATCATTCAAACAGGCGCCGTAACACCTGCCTCATTTTCATGATACAGAAGAGATAATCCATATAAAGAGCCAAGATAGTAGCTGGAAGACAGTGGACATTGAATGGCTAACATTTTTTTAAAGAAAATTTAGCTTGTGTTGATTGATTGATTGAGACAGGGTCTCACTAAATAATTCAGACTAGGCTTGAACTCACTGTGTATCCCAGGATGGCCTCAGACTCATGGGGATGGTCCTGCCTCAGCCTCTAAGTACTGAGATTTTAGGCATGCGCCCCATGTTGGGCCCCGATGTTTTCAAGTGCATTAAACTAACTTATCTCTGAGGCCGCTATTTGATCTTAGCCAAAATACCAAAAAGCAGTCTAAGCCCATTTCTATTTCTAAAATTTTAAAACTATATCAAAGCCAGATTTTTTTTTTTTTTAAACTGGAGTTTGAATTTAGGACCTTGCGCTTGCGAGAGACAGGCAGCAGAACCACTGAGCTAAATCCCCAGCCCTATCAAAGCCAGATTTTGATAGCAATAGTTCTGTATTCCTCCCACACAAACCCTTTAGCCGAAGCTGCTCAGAAGACAATCGTATCATTCATTCTGTAGTTGTTTTTTCTCAGCTCTCCTGGGGATTGAACCCAAGGGCTCATGAATTGCTATACAAGTGCTCTACCGCAGAGCTACATGCCCAGAAGACAACTGTATCACATTGAGGCTAATCTCTTTTATCACAAAAGGTTCTAAAGTTGATTTTGACTTTTAAAAAAATTTGATGATTTATAACCATGGCAAGACTGGTGTCTCTTAGGGGTTCATTTCTGGTTTCTATAGAAGTTTCTAGCTCTCTCCCACCTTGGTTTTTAAAATTTTGGTACTGGCGATAGAACTTGGAACCTTGCACTTTTGAGGCAGGCGGCGGAACCACTGAGCTAAATTCCAGCTCTTCTTGGTTTGTTTTTCAAGACAGGATCTTGCTATGTAGTTCAGGCTGGCCTTAAGCTCACTATGAGCCCAGGCTGGCCTGTGCAATCCTCCTGCCTCAGCCTCCTGAGTGCAGGGATTGCCGGCATGCACCACCAAGCCAGCTCCTTTCTTCTTTTCCCAAGTGAGCATCTTGACTCACCTGGACTCCAGTTATGGTTGTCTGGTTGACTCCAAAAGGTTCAACAGAAGTGACTTCCAGCACAGCAGTCCCTGCGACAGAACCAGCCTTCAGGAGTCCTGCACCATCCTCCTCAACCACGGACGAATTAGGGAAACAATGGAGTACTCGGGTGCTGACTAAGGCTGCTCCCTCTCTAGAAGACAAATGGAGCAAATGTGACTCTTGGGGCCCTTTCTCTTTTCTTTTCCTTTTCTTTTTGGTTTTTGAGACAGGGTCTCACTATGTAGTTGAGACTGACTCACTATGTAGCTCAAGCTGGTCTGAAACTCACAGCGATCCTCCTGCCTCAGCCTCCTGAGTGCTGGCATTATAGGCGAGCACCACTACGCCCAGCTCTTGGGGCCCTTTCGATTAGAGGGAAAGGAGGGAAAAATACTCCAGGACCGCTATTAAATCTGCCCTTTAGGAAACTGCTTGGCATTCTCTACACTGTGTAATTATTTGTTCCTCAAGTTAAGTCTACCCCTTTTTTTTTTTGGTTTTCTTTTTTTTAGTACTGGGGATCGAACTTGGGACCTTGTGCTTTTGAGGCAGGCAGTGGAACCACTGAGCTAAATCCCTGGCCCTGTTTTTGTTTTGGAGACACGGTCTTGTTATGTAGTCTAGGCTTGCTCTGAACTCACTGTGTAGCCCAGGCCGGTCTTGAACTCCTGGTGATCCTCCTGCTTCAGCCTCCCAAGTGCTGAGAGTACAGGTGTGTACCACCAAGCCTGGCAAAAGTCTCCCTTTTGATTATGCTCATATATTTTTTCTTTTATTTGCTCTTTTTTTCCCTGTAGTGTGGATTGAACCCAGGGTCATTCTACTACTGAGCTACATCCTCTGGACCTACTCCTCGCTTTTTATTTTTAAAAATTTATTTACTTTTGAGACAGGTTCTCACTATGCAGTCCAGCCTGGTGTGCCTCCTAAGTGCTGAGATTACAGGTGTGCATCACCAGGCCTGTACATTTCTTATATTTTTGAGACAGGGTCTCACTTTGTAGTTCAGGCTGGTCTTGAACTATGTAGCCCAGGCCTTGAATGTACCAAAAATCCTCCTGCTTCAGCCTCCTAAGTGCTGGGATTATAGACAAACCCTGCCCCCACAATCCTTTTTAAAATTTTCTTTGAAACAGGGTCTTGGTAAATTGCCTGGGATGGCTTGAAAGTTGTGATCTTCCTGCCTCTGCTTCCCAAGTAGCTGGGATTATAAGCATCTTCCACCACCTTTGGCACACTTAGCTTTTAAAAAACCAAATCCAGGGTCTAGGGATTTAGCTCAGTGGCACTGCGCCTGCCTTGCAAGTACAAGGTCCTGAGTTTGATCCCCGGTACGAAAGGAAAAAAAAACAACAAATCCAGGCCAGTGACGTAGGAATGATAGTGTGCCTTTTTAGGGTTATGTGAAGCCCTGTTTTCAATCCTTAATACTTCGGGGGAAATGTAAATCCTATTACATATTTTCATTAAAAATTTATTCAACCATTTAACAATCATTGAGAACAAATATTCAAACAAATACTTGTACATGAATGTTCACAATCATAAAAAAGTAAAAATAAGGTCATGCATGGTAGTTTACAGTAAAGCCCAGCAGGTTGGCCTGGGGATTTAGCTCAGTGGTGCTGCCACCTGCCTTGCAAATGCAAAGTCCTGAGTTCGATCCCTGGTACCAAACAAAAAAACAACCCACCGGCATCTGGCTTTTAGGCAAGAGGACCACAAGTTCGAGGCCAGCCGGGGCTACATAGCTAGACACTGTTCTCCCCCAGCCCCTACCAATAGTAAAAATAACCTGTCCATCAGTGGGTGAATGGATAAACAAAAGGTGGTTTATTCATATACTTGTAATAGAAAATTATTGGTCAGAGAAAGGAGTGAAGTCCTGACAGATGCTCCAATGTGCAGCATCAGAAACATGGCAACTGAAAGAGTCCCACACAGTCGCTCTCCCGTGATTCTGCTGCTACGAATACCCACAATAGTTGATACTATAAAGGCAGAAAGCAGTTCGTGCTTGCTAAGGGCTGGGAGGCGGGGAGAATGAAGAGTGACTGCTCACTGGGCACGGAATCTCCTTTGGTGGTGATGGAAATGTAGAACCAGGACTGCCAGGGATGTAGCTCAGTGGAGCCGCACCTGCCTCACAAGCGCAAGGTGCTGAGTTCAATCTCTGGTGGG